TTTTTGTACTACATCGACGTCACCTCGAGGCGCTCTCCTGGTAGGATGCGAGCAGAGACTTATGACATTTTTGTCACTGATAACAATTAAAAAAAGCCTGGAGCTTTACATTATTGCTTGTGTAGCGTGCCTCGGGGCTATCAACCTCTACGCTATCAACAGCCTCCACAGATCCGAGCCAGACTAAATGACGAAAATAATCCCTGAAGAAGGGGAAATAATCCCTCTTGTTCCCTTCTCCAGGGATTATTTTCGTCATTCTTGTCCAGCTCGCTTGCACCTTTGCATTTAATTGCATTATAAGTAAATGAAGTTTGTTTTAGCTACAAGCTACAATTGTCGGACATGGCCGGGCAAATTCTGTCAAATTATTACCAAGAATTGTTTAACACAAATTGAAGCGGGCGCGTCCGCTTTGGACACCCCTTGTGACGCGCGTTTGGGTCCGCGAAATTAAATACAAATGGTGGTATGCGAGGGTGTGTCGCATATTTCGCCTCGACTGGGTGAATAAGCAGGAATTTAATAAACGACTCCTGAATGCAACCACCGCTTTTTCCTGCCAGTTATTTTGAGGAAATGTGCGTTTGTTAATTAACAAAATTCAAAAGGGAATCAACTCGGAACTAGGAAGAAAACAACAACACGCGTGTGACGAATTTCGTTTTCCTTTTTTCAATTTGATGAGCCATTTTGTCCCAATCATAATAATAATAAAAAATACACCCTACTTGCCGTGATAATGTAGTGGGATAAAGCGCAGGATATTCTATTTTCATCATTGAGCTTTTTTTCATTCTAAGGCTTCGACACCTCAGCGCCATTACTGTTTGTTGAAGCAAGGGCCGGTGCAGGCGAGTTGATTGAATATAGACATTTTTAACCCTGGAGGGTTACACCCTCCAGGTTTGGCCACCGTTTCAAACCTTGATAATATGTCCTACTACGAATATCATTTCACCAAATAAACAACGCGTTGCCTAAACAGCGCATGAAGCGCCGAGGGATCCAAGATCTGCGCGGTCTGTCCCAGTCTGCCCTACCCGTGACGTCAAAAACGATTATGATGATATCTAGAGAAGCGCCCCCTGTAAGTGACTACGTCACAACATGGCGTCTGGGTCCAAACAAACCGTTGCTAGGGGCGTTGCTATGGACTAAATCTAGCCTCAACATGAGGCTAGATTTTTGCTTACAAGATGTTCTTGACGTCTCAGTGTCGTATTGCAACAATAAAAGGTTTCTGAACATTAAACTCCGCTTTGCTTTGGTAGCAGACGACGCGATAGATTTGCTGGCCTCTGTTGCAGCGGGCGTTTCCATTGAATTGCGTCGGTAAACCAGCGACAGAAATAAGTGCATCGCCATGGGCCGTAAAAGCCTCCTTTTTTTCTTTCTGTGAAGAACTTTTAGGGATGTGAAAATGCGGTCAAATCAAACCACGGCATGCAGATCAGTTACGGCGACGACCTGAAGTGCATTACCGGCGTAGTGCAGGCCAGCATGAGAAAGAAATCGTAAGCCGTCGAGGTAAGTCGCTAATTATTGTTATTGGGGTTGTCAGGTTATTAAAGAATTGCGTATCTATTATAATGCAATTAAATGAAAAGGTGCAAGCGAGCTGGACAAAAATGACGAAAATAATCCCTGGAGGAGGGGAAAAAGGGGACGAAGAACAAACACAAATCTCCAAACAGCAAGGTTACGGTGGTGCGCGACCCAAAAAATTCGCAGAAACAAGCGATTACCGCCACACTTCTGCCGAAACATATATGACATTCAAGCTTTTTTAGAAGTTTAACTCGTACTCCTGATTTTTGAACGGTCGGGTTTTTGTAGCGAAACATAGCCACATGTATTTGTCCATAACAACGACCCTAGCAACGGTTTGTTTGAACCTATGACGTCACACTTACGGAGTTTTAGTAGACCGTGTTTCCTCCTCCGCTACGAAGAAAACGGCACTGCGCCTGCGTGCCGATGGCCTTGGGTTCCAGCAAAGGGGGAAACACGGTCTACTAAAACTCGCAATCGACTCTGTAAGCGTGACGTCATGGACCCAAACAAACCGTTCCTAGGTTCGTTTTGCTACGAAAACCCGACCGTTAAAAAATCAAGAGTAGGATTTAAACTTCTGTCATATATGTTTCGACAGAAGTGTGCCGGTAATCACTTGGTTCTGAAATATTTACGACCGCATGCCTACGCAGACGACGAATGCAAGTGCGCCGTCTGCTACACGCCAGATGGCCAAGCCAGTGCCGTCGTGAATCGTGTGAATAAAGACGACATTCTGATATTGCATTTGTTTGAAATATAGTAAGCTTCAGACACTTATAAGAATTAATAGTGGGGTGCGATGCAAAATATGGTTTACCGAAAGTCCGGCGTCGGTCAAAATGATCGTCTGCTGAAAGATTGCATTGTACCCGTAACGGGTACAATGCAATCTTTCAGCAGACGATCATTTTGACCGACGCCGGACTTTCGGTAAACCATATTTTGCATCGCACCCCACTATTAATTCTTCAGGCAATCGGTTGAGATCTCAAATTTTAATTGCGGACTCGCACTATGTGAGGGGGCTTCGTACCTGGTTGTAACCATCGCGTGGAGAAAGATTCTTGCAGTTTCTTCAGATTTCCGCAAGACCCCAGAGCGCAAAAGAACTGGATAAAAACATAAGGTGAGTACATGTCGCACTGGCGGACAGATGCCTTGATGTAGAAAAAGGGGCCAAACCAACCGAGAGCATGTAAAACCCACATTCTGTTCGGTCATCTTTTCTCAAAATATGGCGCTATATTTATATATTATTCCTATAATATTGATAAAGTAGTTGCAGGCAAGTAGTAGTGAGTAAAATACAGCTCAAATTTTTTACCATTGCTATGGTAAAACAGCGTTGAGAAGTATGCCTGTGTCCATACGCCATCCGGTTATTTTGTTATGCTTATATATCTACCTTTGGTGGTTTTTCATTGTGCTCTTTATATGTTCCCCTGTTCGGCCTAGCTTTTTAATTTAGTATTTAGTACAAGCCTCAATAATAATAATAAACAACTTACCTCGACAGCGTACGATTTGTTTGTCACGCTGGCCTGCACTACGCCAGTAATGCACTTCAGGTCGTCGTCGTAACCGATTTGCATGACATGGTTTGATTTTACGGCATTTTCACCCCTCTGAACTAAGCTGGGTTCATCAAAGAAGAAAAAAAAAAAAAAAACGCACATTGCGGAGGCCTTTACGGCCATGGCGATGCACTTGATTTTGTCGCTCGTCTACCGACGCAATTCAATGAAGACGCCCGCTGCAACGGAGGCTAGCAAATCTATCGTGTCGCCTGCTACCAAAGCAAAGTGTAATACTTCAGAAATGGCTTTCATCGTTGCAGTACAACCCTGAGACGACAAGAACATTTTTTTAAAAATTAGATATCAAGACAAGAAGTTAGGTTGCTTACAAGAAATTATTTATTTACTTGAAAGCAAAAAATCTAGCCTCATGAGGAGTCTCCATGCATTAGTCCATAGCAACGGTTTGTTTGGACCCAGACGTCATGTTACGACGTAGTCACTTACGGGGTCAATGGGAGCCTGTGAGGCTGCACGATAAGCGTGGCGCTGCAGTCCGCGCCTCTGTAGAGCCGTGCACCTATGTGATACACATACTTCCAGTATGTGTATTTAGATACGACACCGCCCTACACTTTTTTGCACCGGTGCAGGAGGTGTAAGTAAATCAAATGCGGCTTGTTCCACCCGGTAGAACATCAAAGTTCCACAGGGTAAAACTCCGGTGGAACTCCGATGCTGACGTTAAAATTACTTTTCAATGCCTCCAAGCAGTGACGTTGCGTGTGATGGCGGTATGAACATGTACGGCATCCCACGCGGTGCTAGTGCTTGGGGGTAATGAAAAGTAATTTTACTGCCTTAAAACACGCAAGAGCAACATAACCGCAAGAGATCTGGAGAAATAAGCATGAGTGACAAGTTTATTGCATGCACAGTGCCAAAGAAGCTCATATTGGCCGAGGAAAACTTTCAGTAGGATGATGCTCCATAGCAATCTTGGTGCGACTGCTTTTAAAGATCCTTTCGAAGCTATGGAAGGGTCCAAAATGGCGATCACCATGGCAACCGACAGCGATTAGCCAATCACCTTGAGAGGTTTTGCCATCTGTATGTTGGTATTTGTTTGTGTCCGGCTAGCAGGTGGGAAGGTGATGGCACTACTTTCCCAGATCCAGTCACTTTACCTAGAGCAAGACAGCAAGGGCAATGCCATTCTTATTGCTCAATTCACTAGAAACTTCATCAAGCTCAATTTGCCTTGAAAAGCATAAGTCTGAACAAGAGAATACAGAGGTCGTCTTTGTCTCGGGAAGTTGCTCCTGCTGAGACAAACTTCGTGCAGCCGAGGTGCGTCTTTGAGCAGATTTTTCGTACAGGGGATTATCATGAGAAAAGGATGGAAAGTAAAAATTAAAGGAAGGTCTGAGGCCTCTGTCCTAACTGGTAACAAACCTAAATAATGGCTTGTCATGAATGTCCTGAAGGAACCCGGAAGAGCCACAAGGTAGCTAGTTAGTTTGTCACTAGTTTGAGATTTCAAAGGAAACTGAAGTTTTATAAAATTTACTTGTAAAACACCATCCTCCTTTGCTTTTTATTTTTTCCTTGTGTACTCGAAATTTCGAGTTTCTCAGATAAATCAGAATTAAAAAAAATTGTACTGGCAAGTTTTTTTTTTTTTTTTATTTACCTGAAAATACTGAACCCTGCACATAATATTAAATCTGTGAAATAGGACCAATTTACCTCAGGTATAATATATCATTTATGGTGAAACCGATCAACCACAACCGTCGATAGCTGAAACTTCTGAATGATTGGTGACAACTTCCAGCGGCCCATACAAAATGTTTGTGTACCGCCTAATTGACACTCGATTTCAATTACTTCAGATTAACTTCAGCACATAAAACACCCATGGACGAGGTTGTGCACTGCAAACATTTTATTTCCCTACTTCTTTTTATTCCTACGAACGCCTAATTTCTTGGGCCTCTTCTTGATGCCTTCCTTCTTTGCCTCCTCGGATTCCACATCATTCTCTTCCATATCCTCCCAAGCCTCGTCGTCTGCTTTTTTTCCGCCAACCTCTTCATCCTCGTCGTCGTTGTCGTTGTCCTCCTCCTCCTCCTCCTCTTCCTCGTCTTCATCCTCCTCGCTTCCAGCGGCTGCGCCAGTGAGCTTCTGCCTCTTCTTGCCCCTTAGCGACCGCGTCTTCGTACCAAAAGGGTTGCTGCTCTCACGCAGGACCTCGCACGTTCCGTCGCTGTTCCACAGGAACTCCATCGACACCTTGAACTCCGCCATCTTGATCCCCAGCAGCTTCTGCTCAGCGGAACCGCAAGCGGTTGCGTCATGAAAGCAAAGCAACGCGAGCGATTGCCTCCGCTCTTTTTGAGAAATAAAGGTGCGCTTAAAACTACATTGCTGATTATAGTTACGCATTCTCCACAGCATACCTGGTAAGTATCAAAACGACACCTTATTGAGATGCACAAATGAAAGCTCGTCGACGTAGAGTGAGCACCTCTTACTACCCTCACAGACGTGACAGTTTTCGGCCGCATTTAGTTGTTTCCTGATGCCTTTTAGAATCCATGATTATGGGAAAATATAACGGCTCATAACGAAGACCACTGGACTTCAATCGTACAATGGCTGCTTTACGACTGTTAAAAAGTGGCCAAAAGCGGCCGTAAAATGTCACGTCCGTCCAAAAAAATTGGACGCACAGATATTCTTAAGAGGGTAGACAGCCATAAAATATAAACTATTAAGTGCACGTAATAGTAATAGCATGCTTGCACAAAACAATATCAGTGATATTAGCAGTCGAGGTGGGAAGGTGGTTCCGGTCTACACATGTTTGAGGCATGAAAAATATTGAAATAATGAAGTTCTAAAATTTGCAATACCGAGCAGATATGTACAATGGTGGGGTAATTAGTTTATGATGTTTATGACAAAATACTTTAAGAAAAAGACACAAATGATAGATTTTTCGGCAGTGAATTAGTAACGGAAGACCTAAAGTGTTTACCATAGTAGAAACGCTCGCAGTGCGATAATAGTTTGTCACTAAGAAACGAGCTGAGCGGTTTTGAATGGATTCAATAAGAGCAATTAGAGACGAGTGAGCAAGGTCCCACACAGCAGCAGCATATTCAAATATGTATTGGATAGACGGAGCAAGAAAGAAATTTATTTTTAAGTATCCTAACGTATGCTCAGCAGTGTAAATTGCGTATTCAATATAATTTTTCCAAGGACGTTATATATGAACACCAAGATATTGTAAACAGACACTGAAGAGAGAGAATTGAAGTTAAGATGATAAGTATGACACACCGATTGAGCACGTGACACTCTCATCGATTTACATTTGTGAGTGTTTAGTTCCATTAGCCACTGGTTACACCACAGTGATATACAGTGAAGGTCAGATTGTAGCAGAAAAGTGCCAGATATGTCGGTTATTTTCCGGTAGATTATGCAACCGTCCGCAAAGAGGCAAATAGAAGAAGACAAGTTCTGCACCAAGTCATTAATGTAAATGAGAAAGAGTAGTGGGCCAAGCACTGAGCCCTGTGGGACACCTGAGGTGATTGGAACAGTACAAGAATTCCTATTATTAGCAGTAACAAATTGTAGGTGGTTAGTTAAAAAGGCATGAATACAATTTAATATACAGGATTCAATGTTAAGCGATTGTAGTTTATGAAGGAAAAGTTTGTAAGAAACTTTGTCAAAAAAAAAAAAAAAAAGCTTTTGAGAAATCTAGAAAAACAAAATCGGTTTCATAATGATTATCAAGTGAATGAGGCAGATCATGCATGAAGGAAAACATGAAAAATGTTTTCAAAAGCCATGTCGTGTACTTGTGAATAAGTCATTAGCCTCAAGATAATTGACTAACTGCGAGTAAACGACTGTTCAAATATTTTACATGGCACGCTTGTAAAAAGAAATTGGTCGGTATTTGGATGGGTTTTGTTTCTTGCCAGATAATCCATGAATAAGAGACTGCATTTAAAGTTTTGAGAGAATGATTGAACAATACACATTACAATTTTTAAGGAACTTATTCTGGCACACGACGAAAGCTTCATATTATTAATGATGCCAGCAACACCAATCGCTTCAAATGCCACTGGGTCCATAGGCAAAAAAGCAGGAAACAACAATACCGGTACTTGGTTAACATTACAGGTTGTAAAGGACATACCAAAAAAATCATTTAATACACTAGCACTTTCAGTTACTGGTACTGAAGAAGGCATGTAGCCAGGGAGGGGGAGGGGGGTGCCGCCCGGCCCCCCCTCCTCCTCATACAGCATTGTGTCAAAAGAACCCCCCCCCCCCCCCCCCCCCCCCTGCCCCTGCCCCCACCCCCCCGAAACAAAATTCTGACTACGTGCCTGGACTGAAGTACATTGTTAGACTGACAGCTCGGATTAACAACATTCCTAAATTGTTTAGGATTAATTGCTAACATGATATTTAGTGTATGATTATAAAAATATGACTTCGTAAAAGCTACTGTATATTCTTGATCTGCAGTTTTCTATGCCCCCCATCGTGCATTATGAGATGATCGTTTGGCAGTACGAAACAGGTTTTTTTCTATTTCGCAGATGCCCGAGATTATCGTTAAACCAAGGCGAGTTTGTGCTGCATTGGATCTTCCTTGATGGTATGTACTTTTGACTTAATAATAAAACATTTTTAAACGGCATCCAATTAGATACAACGTAGCACTCTGAAATCTTGGGTAAGTCATAATTAGGACACTCGGACATGTATAAGTTAATTGACGTAAAGTCAGCTCTGCTGTAGTCATGGATATATTTTATGTGAATTTGAGGCGTGGGTGCTACCAATGGGATATTCAAGGAAAAGTGAACTGATGTAATCAACATGGCAGGTATGTTGATAATGATTACATGATGCTCAGATGCATTGTTAATATGAGATTGAGTATATCTGATGAAAGGTATGTAACCCTAGTGGGCTCTGAGACAAGTTGAGAAAAGCTTCAGCTGAGAAGGGGGTTGAGACAGGACATACATTAGAACAGATGATGTTGGGGTAATTGAAATCACCCATTAATATAACTGGCACTCCTGGATACTGGATGGTAATTTGGTTAATGCAATTACGTAACAAATTCACAAATAAACAACAGCTAGGGGGGGGGGGGTCGATAACATACACCCATTATCGTTTGTTTAAGTTTAAAAGAAACGCAAACCCAAACAAACTTAAGTTCACAGGCTACAATGACAGGGCGAGAAACCAACGAGTCAGCAACCGCCAATAAAGCACCAACGCCACATCCTGTGGTGTAGTGCAGGGGGATGTGTTGAATCGTTTTTTTTACACTGAAACAGCTTGCTATCAGACACTTTGCTAGAGAGGCGCCTCTCAGTGAGAGCGATGACGTCGGCATCGCATGAATCAGCAACTGAGCACAATTCACCTGGTTTACGGTTAGACTGCGAATGTTAGTAAATAAAATGGAAACATTTTGAAAAAGGTCAACCTTCTCTCCTGCCCCTTGCTGATTGTTAAGTTGACATAGAAGTAGACACCGTTTGAAAATCGTATAGGGGTATCACAGAAAGAAGAAACTTCGAGACAAGGCATGGCCACTTCGTAAATACAGTTTTCAATTTCATTGTATGCATAACACTTGTTAATAACAAAAAGCGTGCACAATGCACGCTATGCGTCAATGAACCTTAGTTATACCTAAGGTATGGTTAAAGCACCACCACACTTATTTCTGAACGCATTGTACCATCCCTTGACAATTGGAATGGAGCTCCAGCTCGTCGTATTGAGTTTGGGAGGCTTTAATGGGTGTAACCTCTCTTCCGATCCAGAGAAAACCTAGACCGAAGGTCTTTTCAGTATTTGTGAGGTCAAGCCTGCACACTTTAGATGAAAAGCTTTTGCCAATAACATTCTCAAAATTACTTTTAGCCTGCGGTAAAAAAAATTACGCACAAAAATGCACTGATTGGTGCGCTTTGGGGTCACCCAATAGGTGGCACCAGTGTGTTATTTTGTTGAAAGCAGTTTCAAATGAGCACACTGCACTCCAGCACGCTCAAATCCCACTGCGTCATGCAGCCTATATAGCTCTAGACAAACTATGTAGTGCAAGTGGTTGGAATGCCTCGAACCTAGGGCTGCCCGTTTCCATCTGCTTTTCAGGAGATTGGTCACAATAGCTTGCGCAAGACAAATGTTTGAGATAGAGTTTGGCGTCAGCTTACTACCATTAGACAAACAACAGTTGAAATCTCTGGCGCAAGTAGGATAGAGGGGCGGCATGGCCCCTTTATTCTATGTATGTGTGTTTACCGTACGGAAACCACAAATGTACTATAACGAAAGCAGATTTGAAATTTATGTGCAGTAACTACCTTCATTGTTGAAAAAAAAAAAAAACAGAGTGGAAAAATATCTGCACGCTCCGATTCCAATAGTGGTTCAGTTTGCACACACGTGTCTCGGCCTCAAGATCGCAGAAATTGAGATTGTCCCTCTTTGCCCGAGACCCACTGCTCAAAATGCTGTCCTCACAAAACACACCTTCATCTAATTTTCGCTGCGCACATCTCTTTTGACGAAACAAAGAAGTGTTTTTTCGGTCGCTTCCATCAGTTCTGGAACGCTTTTGCGTGAACGGTGAGAGCTTGCGTCCTTGCAAGGTGCTCATGACGCATGATGTAGTATGCGCCTCAATGGCAACCCCATGCCGTGACCGCAGGATGGCTAACGGACAGACATGTTGCCATTGACAGGCCATGAGAGACACGGGTTCTGACGACTGATGTGCAGCATAATGATTGGTGAATGAGCGCGAGCACATTCCAAAAATGCAAGCTCTCACATTCTATGCAAGAGCATTCCAAAGCTTCTGAAAGTGGCACAAGCTGTGCCTTCAAAAATTGGATGGAGGCAGACTTTGCAAGGATGGCCTTTTTGAAAGCTAAGTTTCATTGCTCTTTCAGGTCTGCAGAAAGGCACCACCAAAACATACTTAGTGCCTGGGATAATAGTTCAATTTTTTTTAGTGCTGGGCTCACCAGTATGCTGGCCTGCTCAGGCTTGAGCACTTCCCCTTCCTTGCAGACTTCGTGATCCTTGATAAGTGTCACCACACCTGCGGCAAAGAGGAGACAAGTATCTTACAGCGAGTTCGTTTCACATGCACTAACACCGTACAACTTCTCTCCCAGAACGCATTGCACTTGCGCAGTGCCGGATCAATACCAGGCCCGAATGAACTTGCAGGATAAGATAAGTGGAAGGCGTTGCACGAAGGCTTGCTGTAGTGCCAGAAAAAAAATGACCGCATCTCTACGTGGTGTATGACGTTGATTGGGGTGAAGCTCTGGTGGTACGTAGACGCTGAGCCGCAGCATGCTAAGCTTTTCGTTCGTTTTCATCCATGTTAGAAAGAGAATGTGTGGTATGGAACGTGGTTATATATGCATTTGAGCATTTGACCGCAGCGCACTCTCGTCTATAAACGTTGAGCCAATGCATGCAAAGTTTAACGCGATTATATACGCATTTGACCGCAGCGCCCTCTCCTGTATATACGTTGAGCGGCTACATGCAACGTTTCATCCATGGCATCCCCAGCTCTTGAGTTACTACCACATCTCAGAGCCCCCTACTCGCCCTGCAGTCGTGGCCGAGTGGTTAAGGCGATGGACTAGAAATTCATTGGGGTCTCCCCACGCAGGTTCGAATCCTGTCGACTGCGCAAACATTTTTTCTTTTTTTAAGAAGACAGATGGGATGGCAATCGATGTGAGCACGGACAATAGACAAGGCTAGACCCTAAGGAGCTTCGCCCCTAATCCGGACAGTAAGGCTGGCCAGGTGGAAGTGGAGGCAGCTCTCATCCTCTTCAAAAGGTCGTGGGAATGATACAATCTGCACTACACTATGATACTCTGCGATGGTGATAGCCACCCCTTTGCTGCTCTCCAAGCGGCGAAAGTCTACGGGGTTTTCCTCATACACAAAGAGCACTGCATAAACCACGTGCAGAAAAGGATGGGGACAGCACTGCGGAGCCTCGTACAAAAACAAGAGGGAGCAGCGGGCACCAGCATTGGTGGCAAGGGAAGACTGACTGCCAGTCTCGTCCCAAGGCTTAGCTCTTATTACGGCTCAGCTCTGAAGTCCCACGAAGATGACAGGATACCTCAATTCCTAAAGGATACCTCAATTAAGAACAACCTATGGAAACCAGAAATTAGCATACTTGATATCTCAATTCCTCAACAAAGATTCAGATGTTATGGGAATAATACTAGTGCTTCTCGTTGCAGCCTCAAATACAATGTAAAAAGGTGCCCTGTGGCATGTTGTTCGGAATAAATTTTGAACGTCAATTTGTCTCCACATACACTGCGTGTAGTACTGTGAACAGGCCTATTTTAGCTACTGTATAAAATATGACGTGTAATTTTCATCTTTGTGGAGGTAATGGTACCAATGATATTGCACTGCTGTTTCTTGCCAATGTTTTGTACTTGCTTTTCCCAATGAGTGCTGAGGCAGTGTACTGAGGGGACTGGGCATAGTCAGGCAGAGCCTATCTGCCTTTTGCCCTTTTCCCTCGTGACCCTGTGTCCGAAATAAAGAAACAAAACCAACGTCACACCCAACGACATGGAATCTAACCACAGCTTGTGCCCTACTGGAGAGCAGTCCTGGTGCAAGCAGAATGCAGTCAAGGCCAAGGAAGAGCCTGTGCCCAAGCGCCACTAGAACTTCCCTAATCACGTGTGCACAGCTCTTCTACCTGTGTCCACACGCCTTGCAGACGAGACGCTGTTCCGGTTATGCCAGAGGGGAAAGACACGAAATGCCAACGAGAGTATCCACTCGGTAATCTGGTCACTTGCCCCGAAGGACCAGAATGCGTGCCTCTTTACAGTGGAGGCAGCTGTTCCAGAGGCGACTCTATGGTTTAATGTAGGCAGCCAGTGGGCATCACGAGTTATCCTCGAAAAGCTGAACGTCAAGCCTGGCGCCAAGTGCATGAAGCGAGGAGCGGAGAAAGACCTTCGCCGAAGTGCTGCCTCGCAGACCAAGCATGCGTCCCAAGACGACGTCCTAAGGGCCATGAGGAGGAGGCGCGCCAGCCAGATGCATGTGGACTATGTTCCCGGAGGGTACTCTACCCGCACACACAAAGAATTCGTGACAGAGCTATGAAAATGAACCTGTAAATGTTTCTTCTTGTTTTCTCAAAATAAAGTTTCCTGCACTTCACTAGTTACGGAAGCCATATCTCATTTTCTACACATCCAATCATCACCATCTTTTCTTTTTCTGGTAGGTGCGTTAATGACATATCCAAAAAATGATTCAGAATTTTTTTTTTTATTGCTCTCAATATGTAATCTAAAAATTACTCTTGAAAGTTAAAAGTTCAATGTGTTGTAAAAGAGCAATAAATAGTCCTGGTGTTTTCATTTATACCTTATTAGATACTCTAGACCTTCTAGTTTACAAACATATCTTTAGTACTATGTTTTTATTTTTCTATTTTTTTTTAATCCTTTCTGTAAAATCTGCAAATGGAACTTTAAGTAATTGCTAATCTAATCAAGCCATTCCAAACAAATGTCATATTTATTATTAGATTACAAAGGCAGATGTGCTATGAAAATTTTGTTATGACTGAATCATAAATAAAAAAAAAAGCTCGAAAAGCAGTTTCCCCTTTAACAGCTTGATTGTCTTGGAGATCTACAGACAATGTATGTTTCCGCAACAAGCTGACAACAAAGCAACTTGTAAGGAATAACAAAAAGCGAGCAATCCTTCAAGTCTGTTTACACTAGAGAAAACACTCTTGATCTAATCGGGCAGAAGTTCGATCAGTTTACAGCGCAAACCACTGAAAGGATACGCCGGTTTCAAACTAGTTTGTTGGAACCTCCAGTAAAACGTTCTGCGGCATCTTCGATTTCTGTCCTTGGTCGCATACAGATGGGTCAGCTTTTATTCCTAATGCTGTAAACTCGAGAGCATACTGTGAAATAACTGGAGAAATTAAATGTTAAACATGATGATTTTACCCAAGCCTGGGTTAAAATCACCATGTTTGACTTTCTCTGCTGTGCAGCTAGGTTCTGTTGGGCGAGCTTTATCGACAAATGTTGTCCATTAGTGATTAAACAATCGGCCATATTTTAGCAATAAATTTTCATCCATACACCCATGACAGAGATATGATCCAGCGGCCGCTGTTGCATGCGTTTGTCCCGAGTGTTTCCTTACTTGTCGGTAGGCTTCAGCGACTGTACGGCAACAAAACGACTCAAAACTTTCAAAAGTATGGGTTCTCAATTGCTTCCTTCGTGAAATAGCAGACAGTCAATAATTCAAGCTCGCGTTCAATCCAGTCGAGGTGCGAAAGCAGACGAACCGTCGTCATCTGCTTTCGCACCTTGCCCCGAGCGATGAATGATGGGATTGCATAGTGGCGCACGCTCGATTCGCTCGGTGCAGCGAGTGCATGCACGCGTGGAGTGCCGGCGCCAAAACAAACTCGTACAGTGGAGGTACTCGTGGAGTACCAACCGGAAAGAACCCACTCCATGCTGCGAGTGGGCATGCATGGGCACAAGTGCAGTGAAACAAACTCTCTATTAGACTGTATCAGATTTACTGACATTAGCGGTCAAGAGATGCATTAGCGAGTCTGTTTCTTTCTTCCCCGCACCTCGGATATTGCGAGGGAGCAGGCATTGAATCGGGACCTTAATACAACAATTGATATGATGGTGGAGAGGAATTTAGCTGCGCACCGAGAGGTGCCCGACAAAAAAGGAACCGCTCTGTTGTCTAGGTTGATAGGTCAAATAGAAGTAAGTTCATGTCCATGTATGAAGCCAGCTGAAAAATGCTAGCTGCTATCAGGAACAAAGGTCCGCATTTCCGTCCTTTACTACTTAAACTGCACAACCAAAAGGAGGAAGCCTGCCCGAGAGTGGGACGACAAGAGTGACAATCAGATCATTCTCAAAGAAAAGCCTTCGAACTTGACAGGAACCATAGAAATGGGCACAATAATTGTGTTGCCTCAAGCAATCTCTGTTTATTATGTGCATGCTAGCAATGCTGCTGTCCTGTGAATGGGAGAGGGACAAAATTGGCAAAAAATTATCTTCAGCTTGGATACAGCAAACATAGTATGCAGAGTGTCACACAGAGTTTATGTTGGGTCTTAGTACGCTGTCTCTCCTCTTTTTGGGCAGATCATTCTGTCTAATGATAAGTGCAAGAAATATTTCCAGATATAACTGGCCAGGGGCGGATGCAGGAATTTCCTGAGGGGGGGGTCAGGTGTTGGTCAGCGCACCACATGTTTAGGACCCCCCCCCCCCCCCCCCCTCTCCCTCGTTTCACGCCCTAAATTTTACACATGCAGAATTCAAGAGGGGGGTCAGGACATCCGGACCCCCCCTCTAAATCCGCCCCTGCTGGCCCTTAAAAAAGTTGAGAGAGCATCATGTATATAGTATTTCCAAGACATGAGGCAATGTGGTCAGGGTGTCTACCAAAAGAATGTTTTCCAATTCCCAGATGTTTTTAGGGTTTGTTGAAATTCCCAGATCGACTCCAAAGGGGAATGGACGTGTCTGAGGAGCAGTTTCTATGCGAAAACACTGACATATCTGATGGCCGACAGAAGAGTGGCCAAGCACTGGATCACTCTACCTTGTCACCAGTCTGTTCTTTCATATAGTTTTTTGCCGAATAAATGTCCCGAGAGGTTAGGGTTACGACAGTTCCTTGTCAGTACAAACGGTGCCTCAGCATACCCACATGATGCCGAGGTGATGGACACCGCTTCAGTGCCTATGTTTCCACGGCTTCCTCATTTCAAACCTTAAGACGTCACCGGAGTGGCAGGACTCGTCGGAATTATATCACGTTTCACAAGTTTATTCTGCAGGTGTATACCTGGCCCACATTGGTGTCACATTAGCGGCCTTGCTGCCGAGCGCATACCTCCCGCAACACCGAAGTTCTTTTCCTTGACAAGAACAGGTAGGGATGACCTTCAAAACGGTGTGGCGACAACACGTGCAAGCCACGTATATCCATCTGCCATGCATTGGGGGTTGGGATTTTCAATTAAAAAGTATTCAACTTTTCCTGGCACGATAAACTAAAAGTTTTCGATCTGGGGTACGTCATTAGCGAATGCACGATATGGCAGTTTTCTTTCGATGGTATGGTGTCCTGTCGCAACTAGTGTCATAGAATTTAATTTTGTTGATTTTATTCGTAGCCGGGCTGTGTAAAAAGTGGGGATTGGGCATACACACACACAAAAGTGATCCGTAACGAGAAGAAATGGGGCTGAACGGACGAGTTCCGGCCGAGCAATAAGACAGCCGACCTGCGACCCAGATTGCAACCTAATGGTCGGAGCCGCAAGTTTGATGCAATCTTGCCAACACTGCAGCACAGAGAAGAAGCTAAGTATCGGCCTTGCAGTCACCAACAATGCACGTGCAAAAAGTTTCCTTAAAATTCCCCCGCTGCTCGATATCGTACCATAATAGAGCATTTTAAGACGTCCATCTGGCAATCTCTTGAAACCGAAACCACCGCGACAGGGCACCAGCTCTTGTGGCAGTTGGGTTTGCCAAGATCTACCATGTGACATGATCGATTTACTGGGTAAAATTCTAAAGCCAATTCAAACTCAACCCTTAAGCAACATCCACTGTGACATGTCGGCCGGAGAAACACTGTGGAATCAGGCGCATGCCCAGCGGCTCTGCAATGTTAAGGCCAATCGATTTGGACAAAAATGACAAAATCAATATTTCAATGGCAAGTCTACACTGCTATTGTCTTTAAATCAGACTTCTGCTTCAGAAATATTGGCAGTAACTTGTTAAAAGAGGTATGACAGCAACCCAAGCGAGCCGAGGGGTGGGGATTTGAGACATCCTCCATGGATTTTCATTTTTACTCCAGTAGAGGCCTCTTCATATGTTTTTCAGGGGGACTGCAATAATAATACCTACAATCTTGGCAGACCTGGCGACTGACCATGTTTTTTTGAGAGGCTTATATAAGGCGAGTCAAGAAGCAATGCTCACACAGGAATTTATTCCCATGGACTTTCACAGCTGTGAGAAACTCATACTTATTGAAATACAGATTGACATTTGTTTTAAATTGTTCTATAAAACTAGGGGCACATCTATAATCACAATCAAAGCATATAGACCTATAATATGAAGCAAAATAAGTCAATAGAAGTAATAAAAATGTGCCCCTGCAACAGCCGCAGCTCCTAGTATGTCGGTGCGAAGCAGTGAAGCCCAACGCAAGCGCACCGGTGTAAGTAGGTGAAGTTTGGAATGCGTGTGCGGTGCACAATTACAAACTTCAAACTTCACGCGAAATGAAGCTAGCAGAACCTAGAGAAACGACCAAAGAACAAGCGTGTCACCCCCCCCCCCCCCCCCCCCCCCCCCCCAATTAGAAAAAGGAGTCAAGAAAAACGGGCGATTGTGAAAGCCTGAATACCTTTCAAGCCTCGTCAAAGGTCACCAAGAACAAGAAGCACAGCTCAGAGAGGCAAAGAGCTGAAAAAGGGGGAGAGTGCGGTACAATAGAAAGAAGGCGGCCATTGCCCAAGGCGTAGAGGCTGCCTTCTTTGCGCTTGTCAATAAGCGTGCAACACGCTCACTGATATGGTTAGCAAAGCAATGTGCACCGCCCTTCTTTCAGTAACCAAAGTTCGAGTTGAAACTTTTACGAGTATGTCAGCCTGCAAAGTACCCACAAGACAATTTCTTTGTTTGCGAAAGACAAACTATTAGAGAGAGAAAGATGACAAACAGAGAGATGGCATTAGCTTCTGCGATGGAAACATGGCGTATAAGAAGCCTTCCTGTTTGTGCAGTGTGTCCAGCATTGCTAACTCTCATGTCCCAGCGCGGGACAAAGGCAGGGACATTGTCACAGTACAACTGCCATCAAACAAATGACGTTCATTGTCAGGGCTCAAGGACCCAGCTCGAGAAGGAGAGAAAGGCGAAGTGGCATCTAATGGCCGAGTATTAGATGTGACAATGAAAGAAGTGTGAGAATACAACACAAACGACCCGCCATATTTGGCAACAGAGGACATGAAATATTCCGAGTATTCAATACGTGTCCCGAATAAAAAATCTCCACAAAGTTACCACGTTGTGTCTGCTAGCACCATCTCTTGGCTTGGTGTCTGGATTGAAAACCTGTCATTTTCAGGGCATTTGTATTTATACAGAGTGGCCAGCATCCACTCTCAGATGAAGTATTCAGTAGCCACTCACATGGGCTTTGAGGTTTCCAAGCTCAGGAGCAAGATCAAATGGTACATGAGCAAGTACCCTGAAAATATACCGCAAGTACATTTTCAGTGCAGAGTGGTACCGCAAGACTGGGTGGAAGAATGTTATAACCACACAAAGTCTGCCCGAGTCTGCGTGTATGTGTGGTGTACAAGTTACGACCTGTGTACAGGTTGCAACCCAGAATTCAATGGCACCCGCACAGTTTGAGGCCACAGGTCTTGGTTTGGCCGGAAGTTAATCGAGGCCTTCGCCGCCTGTCACACTACAGGTAACATGAGCTCCCTCTCTCCCAGCCTCTCCGACACCAAGATCTCATATCTTCGTCAACAACTGCAGCCCACCTGTCTAATACCAAATCTCCACGCGCGTCACTCCGCCGAAGAAGACCCATCCCATTTATCCCTTTGTTCCCCTCTCCTTCCCTCTTAGTCGGGCCACCACTGAAGCGATCGGCATCGTTGAGGAACGTCAATAAATGTACAAGCTGCCAGTCGGAAAGATGTTTTGTCCTGTCTTCATCCTTTCCACCGTTCATGTTGCTTTCCATTATCCCCATACCTTTACCAGCACGCTCTAATTTGTCAAGTCTATAGTTGATGTTTTTGGTTTGTTTAATACACTGAAAATATATTCCCCTTATGTCTGCCTTCACAGCTCAATCCAATCACTGAAACAGGTGGCACACCTTAGAGTTCCAGTACTGCCAGAAAACGAGCAAGTGTCTGGTGGAAACTGTTTGGTTAGTACTTTTATGGCAGATTTCCTATAGTTTCTTCATGCTATGCCAAGTGGAACTTACTTTTGTGAAGGTTTATTGAAACACAGCTCTTTCCTTAATGGCAAGAAACAGAAATTCCCGATAAAATGTTGCAAATCATCTAAATGAACCAGAGAGGATGCTTAAGGGGGAACCTGGGTACAACGAAAAAAATATACAGTCGAATCTCATTAATTCAAACTTGAGGGGGACCGAAAATTTGTTTGAATAAAGCAAAGTTTGAATTACCAGGAGTTTCCTCCCATAGAGACGCATAGGATGGGACCTGCATGTAAGTTTGAATTATCCGCAAGTTTGAACTAAGAGAGTTTGAATTAATGAGAGTCGACTGTATACGAGAGAGGACACAAGGGGTAGATGAAGCCCACCTGTTGTCCCTCACTTTTGTTTATTCTTTCTACATACTGCAACAAATGAGACAAACGAAAATGAACGAGACACCTCACTTTATCTAAGATGGCATGGGTGCCGAGATGTTGGAGGACAAAATCTTGCGGTTCAGCTAGCTCAAACAACTCTAGTACGGCTGCAAGCAACAACTTAGTGAGTTCCACTCCTTCTCGAGAAAACGGTGTTTGATGCAACTCTCCGGCAATGTTTCAATGGCTCTAGGTGCCTTAAAAGGGCACTCTGGCGTTTTCATCATAGTCCCCGACCTGCCTGAAAATTTGCTAAACACACCAATAAACATAACTGAAATAGTAACCCAAATATTGGGACAAAACAAAAATGTTCTTTCGCAAAGTTACTGCATTTACAATTTCAGGCCTCACCACATTTTTCAGAGCTAAAGTCTCTACTGGCAACAATGAAAAAGAGATGCCACGGGAAGGCAAGCGTCCACTCTTTGGACCGTAGACTTTGTTCCCAACCGATTACAAGCAGGTTCATGGTGTCAAAGGACTGCTTCAGCTCCAGCACTGGTGCGGCGCCTTGGCAGCACGAAACGAAACAAGTGCTCGGCATAGTCTAATTTTAGACTGCCAGCTGGACCTGCAATCCTGTCTTCCACTGACGTGGCGGCACTGAAAAGTGCACACACATTTGAATGTTGATTTTGGTGTCAGTTTCACTCGCCGACTTCGCAACGACTACTGCGAATTTCGCGATAGCAAATAGCATACCGGAAAGGGTAAAGGCAGGCGATTCCGAAAATATGGTTAGTTGGGGTAACTAGAAACCCGTGGTGTCTGGAGTGCGTCTACGACCGGTGCGTTTACGGCACAACAAGACGGATCCTGTGACGCCATTTGCTGCCATTTTGGGGCCACTTTTCTCGCGTGGGTACGACGCCAGACGCACCGGTCGAAGACGGGTTCCGGGCACTGTGCTGCCACAAAGCGGACTGTCACCTTTCTGCAGGCTGGTGGGCAGGCCCAGGTGCCTCAGGTGGGGCTCCAGGGAGTGCTGGAACTGGGGCAGCGGACCGGCGTCCAGGAAGACACGCTCCGTGGCGCGGAACCCCGACCGCGCAAAGTCCGGGTCGCTGTACTCCTCAAACCACCTGCACCACGAAGGAGGAGGTTGAGCTTCGGCTGTAACGCGTCGTTCCCCCCAAGAGGGGCTCAACGGGGTCTTTGTCGGCATCCATACTTCCTGTATACCCGGGGGGGGGGGGGGGGGGGCCTAATCCACACGGTGGGACAAAAAGACGTTGCTGCCTGCTGCGATTGGTCGGCGGCACGGTGCCGACCGATTGCAGCAGGCAAGGAGGTCCTAGTCCCTTCGTCCCGCCACGTTGCCTGGAGCCCCAGGAGCGTCCAAACCCCCAACCTACCTCGGGTACCCATCGGTTATAGATACTCTGCACCATAATTTCTTGCACGAGACACATTGTAATTGAACATTTCTGAGTGCAGCAGGGTCCGTGTTGAATTTGCGTCATTAAACATGTAATTGTCATCACCGGCTTCGAGCAAAAGCCCAGAAATCTCCCCTCTTTCGACGTTCTCGGTGTAAAACGGTGCAGAAGCTTACAAGCCCTGTTTGACGAAAACATTGAGAAGAAAGGGAAGACTGTTTGTAGATAGTATTAGGAGGGTGTGTTGGTTGAACATCTTGGTATGCGAACACAAAAGGAGACAAGGAACACACAAAAAAACGTCAGACACAGACAGAGTGACGCGCAAATACAGCGTAGGTTGGCTCTGCTCGATTTAGAAACCCTCTTTACCTTGGGGTCAGGATGGTTGGAAGAATTTCAGGAGCTCAAAAAGGCCCCAAAAGTACCAATCATGTAACATAATACTTCACAATGATAAAAAAAAAAAAAAAATTAAAAGGTTAAACTTTTTAAAAAGTTTATTCAAAGCACACATTACCTATAAGTAGGGTTCCGCGTTTTCAATTTTTATTTTTTCAAAATTCGGCATACTTTTTTGGGAGCTTATTTTAAAATTCAATTTTCGTGTTTTTTTTTTTTTGGTGCATATTTATTCCCAAAAAAGTTTATCGGTTTATTTCGGTGAATATGAAAGAAACACCATCGGACACTGGATCAGATGATCATTGTAGCTGTGATATTTGTGATCACTCAAAGAATAACGGCACATATACATACGTGGTCTTCGCTACAACTTCCGTCAGGACACCTCGAAATCGTGGAATTTGCGGGGATAATCTTCAGCACACTTCTTTTTCCTTCCCATTCTGACAACGTGACCGTCTAAGGTGATGACCTAACAAAAACCAAAAAAATGGCAAAAAAAAAAAAAAAAATCTATTGTTTTTATGTTTTTAATCACAGGGAAGTTTGAGGAGGGTGTTAAGAAAGGTATAAATGCTTTCCTGGATGTCCTCTGAAGCGCATGAAGCGAAAAACCTTAGACTAGCCCACATCCGAACTTCTTTTTTAGGACCGGGAACTTGACACACGAAGACCTATCACAGAAAGGACATGTATGTCTGGCGAAGGCCAATCCAAGACCTCTTTTGTTGCATGCTGAACCTTAGAAGATGGCAATCACGAAGACGTCACACAATGTCAAACTTTGCAAAACCTTCTCTCTCTCTCCCCCCTTCCCCCACCCACCTCGACGCGGCCCTAGAAAACTGACCTTTTTCGGATAAAACCAAATTTTAGAAAACGGATTAGACATACTTTAATCAGTTTAAACTGAAAACGCCGAACCTACAAACTGACCTTTTTCGGTTAAAACCAAATTTCGGATAATGAATTCGACATACTTTTATCGGTTTCTATCGACTTAAACCAAAAACTCTGAACCCTACCTATAAGCCCACAGAAAGCAATCTGAAATGCAAGCACCCACATCTTCCAGGTGGCCTACCTACAGCTTTTTTACCGAGAGCAACAGCAAGCAGGAAATACTTTTGTTGTACAGCAATGTTGTTTTGTGATAAGTAAATTTCCTCCACAATTCTCAACCACGCTATGCTTTTCTTCCCAAATATTACGTTCCGGGACAATACAACTTTCAACATGTCGCACTGTCTCATCTAACCCAGGTGGGATGGTATGATTAAACAAACAAGTTACTGGTACCACCTTGTCCTGCCGTCTACAACGTCTGATAAGCCAGATGTCCAAACAAATCACTATAAACGTTTGGACACAGCTGTGCCGCCTACTTTGACGGCTCCTGCTCTTGCTTTTGTTGTAAATAATACTAATAACACGCTCTATTTAATAGATACTGCTAAGTCCTAAGAGTGACCACAAGTGACCTTCAGTGGTTAGCGGTCAAGACAGAGATGTCTGGCCATACTCAGTTAATAAATTAAGGGATCCCCCTTAATTTATTAACTGACTTTTTTATTTATTGTGCTGAAATTTAGTATACTCATGTATTTCTCAGTGTTGATTTTTAAATATAAAATTAGTTTCCAGATAGCTTTACTAAATCCTGAGTTATCAATAAATTTGTAATTTTAATCAGGTCCTCCTTACGGTCGTTAGCGTAGAATCCTTCAGAATATATCAGAAATTTTTATAGAATGGCATTCAGCTAGACATGCTTTGTGTGGTGATGCTATTTTTGTTGCTTTATATGTCATAGACTAATTTAAATTAATTAGTCATCAAAAAGATATAGCCTCCCGTTTTGTGCCACTTGATTGCAAATGTTTTTTACCAATGTAATATCATTAAACCAGGCTTAAAATAGCATCATGGCACAAGACACGTCTTGGTGAATGCAATTCTAAAAATTTCTGATTTATTCTGAAGAAATTTATGCTAACAACCCGTAAGGAGGACCTAATTAAAATTAAAAATTTATTAGTAACTCAGGATCTAGTAAACCTATCTGAAGACTAATTGCATATTTGAAATCACCACTGAAAGATACACAAGTATACTAAATTTCAGCACGATAAATGAAAAATAAAAAACAAAAAGTTGAAGACCAGCATTTACAAATCTCAATGAAATTGAACAGTGTGCAAATTGCTGGCTTAATGAGCTATCTCAGTGGTTGCGGTCTAACCAACTACAATTAAACACAGCGAAGACAAAATATGTTATGTTCAGGTCCAGAAACAAACCTGTTCAGCATAAGTTGAATGTTACATTTTTAAACTCTACGATAGAAAGCACTTTGGCTCATAAGTTCTTTGGGGTTTGGTTTGAGGCGTTTTTAAGTTGGACGAACCATGTAAATAAAATCAGATGTGATATATCACGTTCAATTGGTATACTGAATAAAATCAGACACTTGTTACCAAACTGGCTTAAACTGCAGCTCTACTCAACTCTTGTGTATTCCCGCCTACAGTACTGTCTTTTAGTTTGGGGAACCAAAACGAAAACAAACATCGAAAGTTTTTCTTTTACAAAAGAAGGCCGTTAGGTTCATAGATAATTTAGGTTATATTCAGCATACATTGCCCACATTCGAAAAATACAAGCCATTACCCATCGGACATGTTTTTCTATTAAATTAGCGAACATTATATTTGACGAGATAAAGCGGGATGAGACCTCTTTCTTCAACGCCTACATTCATAAGCCTGCCGATTACACTCTTAGACAATCTTTTACACCAAACAAAACGTTAGAACAAGCTATCGCACTCAAACACTTCATTATCAAATTGCTAACTTACTAAATAATCACGCAAATATAGTTCAAACGATACACAACTGTAGCAATCTCCAGATGTTTAAGAAAATTATCAAATTGTATTTTCTTTCAATCGAATAATATGCACCTGCTACTTGTGCCATTACTTCAAATGTGCAATTGTGATCAATTATATTATATGTAACAATGTTTGTTCCTTTTTACTCAACCCTAAGACTCTTCAAATGTTTTCATCCATACTTATTTTGATGTGAATTAGGTAATTGATGATCTTTTTTTTTTTTTTCGGTATCATTAGAGGTACGTGCCGAGTGCTGTAATGGGGGCTGGTGGCCACGTCAGAGGACTTCGCATCTTTCTTTGCCGCAGCCTCCCAGACATATGCATGTCCAAATAAACTTATTATTATTATTATACCCTAACAATCTCGCAAAATTGAAGCAAGGAAAAAATATGCAAAATTCAACATAGACAGGCAACATGTTTCTTTGTGTCCCAGATGCTTAAAGACATGGAACTAAATTCTAATGTGCAAGCACATTTGGGGCCAGAAAACCTTGCCACTTGGATCATAGATGGCACTGCCACACTGCATGGTCCAATGGATATTGGAAGGATGGCAATATTGGGGAAAGCTTTTGGCTGTTGAAGGCAGACGAAGATGTGCAGAGCTAGATATCAGGAAATAGACATAGTATGCGAGGTACATAAAGAGAAAGATGAGACGGCCAAACGCTTCATACCCTACAGTAAGGGGCTTCCAACCTTTAGTTGCCGAAGACACGAGTGATTTAGTGACTGGTTTGGGGCTTAAAGGGGCACGAAAGCAATTTCGGAATTTGTGGTTTTATGACGGTTACTTTATCTAGGCACTCTAAGCATCACACAAAACCCAAAATTATGGTAATATGTGGCCTATTTATCCAAGTAACACACAAATCTTTGACCACAATGGGATCATAAAAAAAATCACGCAAAATTATAATTTAGGATTTTGTAAGATGCTTGGAGTGCACAGATTGATGTATCTGCATGAAAAAAAAAACACAAAAAACTCCAAAACCTCTTTACCATTTCTTAAAGGGCAACTTTGGTCGAAAACGAAACCAAAATAAATGACTGGCATAGCTATAGTGGCACATAATATGATCACAGCCGAAATATTACGTCAAAATGAAGCCTCATATTCCACAAAAAACAATTTCAGACGCGACCAGCTGCTCTTTAGCCGGTGGCAAGCAGGTTAGCTTTTGGTCAAGGAACACTGTCGCAGTACCCTCGTGACGTCACGCCGCGGCTGTACGGCTGATGATCAGTGTTGCCATTCCTGTAGCAGATAATTTCGGTTCTGCTGTAGACGCCCGAAACCAAACTTTGAGCCCGTAATATTTATAAAACTACAAAAAAAATATAAATAAATATAAATAAATAAATTATACCTTGTACTTTAGGGACATTTC